CCCCCCGGCTCCGGCGGTGAGGCCCGAGTGGCTTGCACTCTGTGTCCCTTGCTACGTACAGCTCTCTCCTGGCAGTCTGAATAACTTCTGGAGCACACTACTGAGGATTCGTTTGTTGTTGTTGTTTTTAAAACTAGCTTCTCTTTTTGAAGTCATTTTCTTCCAGGGTTTTCCCCCTCTCCTCCCCTTGAAATCGTTCCACATGGTGTGTGGGAGAAGGCCACGATGCGTGCCGGAAAAAGAGAAATGGCCGCTCCACTTGGTAATGAGGGGCAGCCCAAAGGTTAATTTTCTCAATTTCTTTGCTTTTTTAGTAAACTGTTTTCTCCCGCTTAATCACGCCCCTAAAGCCTCAGCATATCACTTTAGGCATCTGCTCAAGCGGTAAGCTAATGATCTCTTGATATCGCACAGTATTATCTTTCCAAATGTCAAAGAAAGCAATCTGGAGGGTTAATGCGGCTAAGAGCGACATTTTGCTTCCCTTGTCATAGCCACCGATGATCAGTATGAAAAAAGCTGGCAATTTCCCGAAGAGAACTGGAAGAGCAGCCATTTAACGCTCACGGGCTCAAACAGCTCTGGCTACCCGTGTCCCGAAACCACAAGAGAAGCCTAATTACCATTAATATCCATTTCAGAGGCAGTGTTCCCTCTAAGCTGAGTTAGTGTGAGCCAGCTCACCGTTTTCTAGCCTCCGGCTCACACATTTTTGTCTCCGCTCAGGAAGGAGGGCTCCAGAGCAAACTGATTTATGCAGCAGCCAAATCGCTCGCTCACAACTTTAATGCCAGGAGCTCACAAAGGAGAATTTTTGCTCACAAGACACCACAGCTTAGAGGGAGCATTGTTCAGAGGTCTCCCGGGTTCAGAACCACCCATATCTATCAGAGTCCACCTAAAGTAAGATTTCGGTTTTGACGTGGAGTTACCTGCCCCAGCAAAAGATCTGTGGCATTTCAAAGGAAGCAAAATCGGTTTGCTCACTACAATATTTCAAGGCCATCTTTCCCCACACTGCAAGGTTTCAAGAAGGCTAACAAAATTTCTCATAGCACTTTGACGGAGATTTAAGTTATGGATGATTTTTTTAAATTAAAAAATACCCAAACATTTAATTGGTACCAGAGTATCAAGGCCTCTGGAGTGAACGGCACATTTCCCCCCCCCCCATTTTTCTAAAAAGTCCAGATGTTTGTTTGTTGTTCAATAATGGCCTCAGGAAGTTATAAAAAGGAAGCTGCCCCTTTTAACATGTGTTGTTTTCAAATAGAAGAAGAAGAGAAGAGAAGAAGAGATTGGATTTATACCCCGCCCTTCACTACCCAGAGGTGTCTCAGAGCGGCTTACAACCTCCTTTCCCTTCCCCTCCCCACAACAGACACCCTGTGAGGTGGGTGGGGCTGAGAGAACTCTGACACAAACTGCTCTTTTTCAAGGACAGCTCTTATCAGAGCTTGTGACTGACCCAAGGTCACATCAGTAGGTGCAAGTGGAGGAGTGGGGAATCAAACCTGGTTCTCCCAGATTAGAGTCCGCACACTTAACCACTACACCAAACTGGCAAATATAGGCTGTTTCCCCCACAATTTTAATTTAAAACACGAAGCGTAGGTAGAAAACAAGGTATTGAATCACAACAGTATCCATACCATAAGATGAGGATTTAAACATTTACCTTTAGTCGGAAGCACACCAGTCCCAATACGACGTCAGCACAGATCTCAAACCGATCGTCCTGAAGCACCAGATCCTTAAATTCATGAGCTAGTTTAACATGCTGAAATGATAAACAGAAGTTATTTGAATATATCCACATTACAGATTTCAGATGGACACAGTAGAGCCTAACTCTGCTTAGGATTGCAGAGTTACAGAACGTTAGTGGGGGGCCATGGCTCAGTGGTAGAGAATCTGCTTGGCGTACAAAAGGACCCAGGTTCAATCCCTGGCATCTCCAGTTCCAGTGTTCCCTCTAAGCTGACATAGTGTGAGCTAGCTCCCAGTTTTTTAGCCTCCAGCTCACACGTTTTTGCCATGGCCTGCCTCTGCGTAGCAACCCCTGACTTCCTTGGTGGTCTCCCATCCAAGTACTAAGCAGGGCCGACCCTGCTTAGCTTCCACAGTCTGACGAGATCGGACTAGCCAGGGCAGGGCTATTCGATTCATAGGATGTTATAAATCTCGAAGCTTGGTTCAGACTTAGAATGGCAACATTTCCACTATTTTTAGTTTAATTTTTATGCTTGAAAGTTAGCGACGGTAATTTAAGTATCTGACTCCCTATTTTGATTTGTTTGGAAAATCAAAATTGCTACACAAATCCAGAGTGGCTGGTTCTATATTATTCCAGCAGAGTATTTAAAGCACAAAGAAAGAAATCTTATGGGAATGCTTTGATTTTCCTGCATTCTTGCATTTGTTTTATACAGTAAGACCTTCTTGACGTTTTAAAAGACAGATTGCTGTTGTCGTTATTGGAATACCTGTAACAAGCAGTATTTAATAAGACCACTAGATGGCACCAAGGACTTTTCATTTCACAGGGCAGGCTTTCTCCATAGACTGCATATGTGTGTGCTGTCTTGGGAGCCCGTCCCATTTTACTCAATGAAACATCCAAGGAAGCAACCATAACTCTTTGTGTTGAATAATGGTAAATGGGAGAATGAAGTGCCGCCTATAAAAGTAAACACCTGAATGTTCATACAAGAGCACCGTACACGACAAGGCCATGCACATTTGTATAATGATAAGCATAAGAAGAGCCCTGCTGGATCAAAGCAATGGTCCATCTAGTCCAGCATCCTGTCTCACACAGTGACCAACCAGTTCCTCTGGAGGGCCAGGAACAGGGCAAAGAGGCCGAGGCCTTCATAAGAACGCCAGAAGAGCCTTGCTGGATCAGACCAGTGGTCCATCTAGTCCAGCATCCCGCCTCACACAGTGACCAACCATCTCCTCTGGAGGGCCAAGAACAGGGCATAGAGGCTGAGGCCTTCATAAGAACGCCAGAAGAGCCTTGCTGGATCAGACCAGTGGTCCATCTAGTCCAGCATCCCGCCTCACACAGTGACCAACCATCTCCTCTGGAGGGCCAAAAACAGGGCATAGAGGCTGAGGCCTTCATAAGAACGCCAGAAGAGCCTTGCTGGATCAGACCAGTGGTCCATCTAGTCCAGCATCCCGCCTCACACAGTGACCAACCATCTCCTCTGGAGGGCCAAGAACAGGGCATAGAGGCTGAGGCCTTCATAAGAACGCCAGAAGAGCCTTGCTGGATCAGACCAGTGGTCCATCTAGTCCAACATTCTGCCTCACACAGTGACCAACCATCTCCTCTGGAGGGCCAAGAACAGGGCATAGAGGCCGAGGCCTTCAAAAGAACATCAGAAGAGCCCTGCTGGATCAGACCAGTGGTCCATATAGTCCAGCATCCTGCCTCACACAGTGGCCAACCAGCTCCTCTGGCTGACCAAGAACAGGGCATAGAGGCCGAGGCCTTCCCCTGATGTTGCCTCCGGGTTCTGGGATTCAGAGGACTAGTGCCTCTGGATGTGGAGGTTCCCCTCAATCACCATGGCTAGCAGCCATTGATAGACTTCTCCTCCATGAATCTATCTAATCCTCTTTTAAAGCTGTTTATTCCTGTGGCCATCACTACATCCTCTGTCAATGAATTCCATATTTTAATCACTCGCTGTGTAAAGCAGTACTTCCCTTTGCCCATCCTAACCCCACTGCCCATCAGCTTCATTGGATGCCAAAGTGAATCCACAATTACTATATGGCATACCACTATGGATTATGGGGTATAAATTGTTGTTGTTGTTGTTGTTGTTGTTGTTATTACTACTACTTCTACTACTACTACTACTACTACTACTACTACTACTACTACTACACTTGATTGTTCTTTGGAATGTGCCCAGTCCAAATTTCGACGAAAAATTCTGGGTATGCCTTATTGTGTACCATATACTGCCCTTTGCTTAGAAACGGGATTAAATTTTGATGAAACTAGGGCATGGCTTATGACCGTTCAATACTGGCTGTGTCTGCGGTATAACTCTGATTCCTTGAGCCTTATCCATCAAATGCTCTCGGAGTCTGAAATGTCAAGCTGGCTGGCTTGTACTGAGGGAAAAATCACTGCTCCGGGTATATCTCTGGGCTCATTGTCTATGCTCCCATTAATAGGTGCATATCAAATGATCAAACGCAGAATTCTGGAGACTGAACTCCAAAACGTATATAGTATGCAGTGCTCCCTCGAAGTTGGGTTAGTGTGAGCTAGCTCACAGTTTTTTAGCCTTCAGCTCACAGATTTTTGACTTAGCTCAGGAAGGATGACTCCAAGGCAAACGAATTTATGCAGCAACCAAATCACTCACTCACAGTAGCTCACAAAGTAGAATTTTTGCTCATGAGATTCCATGGCTTAGAGGGAGTATTAGTATGGTTAATAAGCCTTGCTCTCCTTTGAGTATGGAGATCCCACTGGCAGTAGGCCTTGTGGCCCCATATCTATATTCTCTGCAAATACCACAACAATGCGGAGCTTTTTCTTTAGCTAGATTTAATGCCATGCCGTCTGCGATTTCATATGGCAGATTTCAAAAAATAGCATATTCAGCTAGATATTGTCGTTGTAACACTACTTGCACTGAGAAAATCCCACGTTTTCCTCTCTTGTTCTTCCTATGCAGATATTCGTTTTAAATATTTAAGCTCTATTTTAGCTAATGATGGGCTTCTCCGATTCCGACAAGGTTTACTGCCTTTTGAGTGACTCCTCCTCTGATATAACTGAAAAGGTGGCAAAGTTCTTACAACTCGCCATAACGTTGTGCCAGGAGAAACTACAGAAATAACTGAATAATCGAATTGTACAGTAATATATTCCTATTTTTATTCCTTCTGTATCTTGCTCATCTTAATTCTTATATGCCAGTAAAGGCCGATTGAATCGAAACTGAAATAATACATTACCTGAATATTTGTGATTTTAGGCGAACCTGCATGTCCGTCAGCTTACGGAAACAAATACGCACAAAACCCTCTTCTTTCCAATTTTTTCCCCTAAGAATTCAGCAACAAAGTAAAACATGTTCACCTTTCGGATGTATTCCTGGAGTCCCTTCACGCCATACATTCGAAATACAAACCACATTTTCAAGGAACGGAACCGCCGACCCAGGGGAATCTGCCAGTGCTGGAGATAAAAGCACAAACATCAGCCTATCAATCAATCAATCTATCTAAAAAAAAAACACGTTTTCAGACTTCTGTATAACTGTGAGGTCTAGAATTACGTTTCAGAGAATGCCAGAGTTCTCAAGGAGCCAAATGTCTCTCCCGATCCCATCTTCCTAGCACACGAAAGTGCAGATAATCAAAATCCCTCCTACTGTTTACAGTGGGTTAGATCCATGAGGCATTTCCTGATGGCATAAGGCCAGGGGTCGTTTCGTAGAAAAAGAGCTAGGGGAACTCATTAGCATAACTCATTAGCATATGCCACACACCCTGACATCACCGGAAGTGTGTCATAAAGCCACACCCCCTGACATCACCGGAAGTGTGTCATAAGGACACACCCTGCCCCCAACAGTCCTGGCCGCCGCCGCCAGCCTTGCAGCTCCACTGCCGAGCCCCATGAGGGGCCTGGCGGTGGACCTGCAAGGCCGGCAGGAGTGCAAGGAAGCCCCGCGAAGGCCCTCCCTGGCCCCAGGCAGGCAGGGGTGGGGAGAGGCAGGGAGGAAGCAACTTACCCTCCCTCTTCTCCTGCCGCCTCCTGGCTGAATGAGGGCCAGAAGGCCCCCTGTACCTCACCCAGGGGAACTGCAATCCCCCGCGATCCCCCCCAAAATGACCTCTGCATAAGGCATGTATTCTCCCTTCCTTTTGCATGCCTCCACTTCACTTCCCAATGCTGTTCTTAGAGGATTCCCCCCAGGGCCAGCAGTCTGAGGGTGCAGCAAGAGGTGGAGGTAGGCCATATTAACAAAAATTGAGTGATACTGCAGTGGATCCATCCACTCTGCCCAGCAAAGGTTAAAGCCTTAAGAACGCAAGAGAAGCCATGTTGGATCAGGCCAATGGCCCATCCAGTTCAACACTCTT